CAGGAATCCCTGCGGGTGCACAGACCCAGTCCGCCATGGCCATTCTGGTCTAAGAGCTACATATTCTCTGGTTGCAAAGACACTGTTGAGTTGCAGGGTACTGAATACTTTTAGTTCAAGAGGAAAGTATGAAGGAAAATATAAATACTCCAAAAGAAGCATAGATTGAATAAGTCTGAAAGTTTGGGGCCAATGTTTTGGTAACCTCAACAACATGGCCATCTAAAAATTATTTTAAAAACAATCATCCATCTTTCACATGTAGCCCTTGGATCTGTAGATGAAAGATGCTGGCAGAGGCCACTCATAGCACCAGCGTCTCCTCACTGCCCTCGGCTTACCTGGCATCTCTTCTGGCTACTGCGAATGTGGAGCCCATCACTGTCTGGGCTGTCAATGGAACAGGAGCAGCAGGAGGAGGAGCTACGCTCTGGCTCACGGCTAGGGACACCAGAACAGCAGATCCAGCATTGGCCACAAGAGGAACAACAGGAGGTGCCTCTCTGGGTTTCCCTCCCAGGCTCTCTGAGGTCTGGAGACCGGTGGCTGGAGGACACGAAGCTCTCTGCTCCTGCTGGAAGCCTGTACTTGGCCCCACACAAGCTGGATTAACCTTTCATGTCAAGCAAACACACAGAAACAAAATCATCAGGTTCAGAATGTGCTAATCAGTTATCACAGCATGGCAACTGTCTTGAGTAGATTCCTTTTCTTTTGAAGCATACTCTTTTTTTTTTTTGGAGAGGTTTCCGCTATAGGGTGCATGCGCTCGCCAGACAGAGAGAGACATAGAGACAGAAAGCGAGAAATCACCCCTCCCAGGGGCGATGGTCAAACCGCAATCCCTTCTCCATTCTCTTCTCGGGATCTTGGGCACACACGCACACGCGCCCGGCGTGAGTTTTAAGCCACCAGGTCTGGGACGCGAACCGCGGTTGACTACATGGGAGTCCAGTGACATAGCCATTATGCTAACTGCTGGTTCCTGAAGCATACCCTTATTTCTTCAAGTATTCAGTCAACAGCAAGAACAACCACTCTAGGCCAGGCAATGGTGGTGTGGGAACCTAACTGGACCCTCATGACAAGGGTCTGCTTCACATCCCAAGGCCTCCCAGAGTGTGCGGTATATATATGCACATGCCCGTTGATCCAGACCAGGTGAGACCAGAAGTGGACTGCAGCTGAAAACCCTGTTGAAAGTGCCTGAACCTCTCTCATGGAAGAGAGAGAGAAACTTTAAACAACACCAACAAAAAGAGACCACTCTACATGATGATGCCTTGCAGCTTCTAACCAGATACACCTGGCGTCCCTCTTCCTACCACTGAACAATGACCCCCTCCACAGCTGCATCAGTATTTAAACACTATCTTATTTCTCTCTACTTAACTTTGAGGGGAAAAAAACCAACAAATCAATGTTGTTAAATACTTAAGGTGTTCCCGCCATTAAGACAGCCTAGGAAATGTGAATATTAATTGGCATGAAAGCATGACTCACAAAAGGAAAGAAGACAAGCTCCTATCTTAAAATCTTTGCTTTTCTACTCACAAATACTTAGGCTGTAATTGAATGGTCTTATGTCACAAAGTTAAGACAGAAGATTTAATTCCCCACCTATAAGAGTATTCTCACAAATTGTTAGGAAAAACAACAGATATTGAGGATAAGAGCTATTTCAGACAAATGAACAAAATATAAAAAGTTAATCCTCACTAGTCATCAAAAAAGATAACTTGAGGGGCCAGCAGGTGGCACAGTGGTTAAGGGTGCTGGACTCCCACATGGCTGACCACAGTTCGAGTCCCGGACCTGGTGGCTTGCTGCTTCCTCACTCTCTCGCGCTGTCCCTCTCTGGTCAAATTAAAATAAGTAAATTAATAAAGTTAAATAAAATAAAAAGAGAAAAAAGATAACTTGAAATGACCTACACCATATTGTCACCTACCCAATTAGTAAAGATTAAAAGTCATCAATGATGACACCAGCAGGTTGTACAGTGGTTGAGGCACTGGACTCCTACGTGGACAACTCCAGTTCCTCCTGGACCTGGAGGCTGGAAACTCACACCAGGTGCATGTGTGTGCATGCCCAAAATTCTGAGAGGAAAGTGGAGAAGAAGATATGGTGGTGTGGTCAGCCCCCCCAGGGGGTGATTTCTTGTTTTCTGTCTTTGTCTCTCCAGCAAGCACACATGCCTTAAAGAAAAAAAAAAAAAACTCTAAAAAAATCAGTAATATTCAGTATTAAAGAAATATTTTGAAAATGAATAAACAGACTTTCTCTACTGAAACATGCAAGAAAGCTGTAGTAAACACACAAAATGGAATAACAGAGACCTACTGACCAAAACAATGGCATAGCTATTTTAGAAATGGATTTTGTATATATAAAAATATGGTATGTGATAAAGACATTTTGAACAAATGGGAAAATGCTGAGCTGGTTAATAAATGATTTAGAAACAATTGGCCATTGATTTGTGAAATATATTCATATGCTATCCACAGACAGAAATAAGTTCCATAACAGGAGCCTTCTGGTTAAAGACGGTCACTTAAACATGTGCTTTACCATCTACTTCCTCCCCAAACGTCACCAAAATGACAGTACAAAAATTCAAACGCCTAAAAAAGGTGCTGGAGGAGACAAGGGGTCATGTAGCCCTGATTTACGGAAAAGTTCAGATTCTGCAACACTAGCTACACCTCAGAATGAAAATGAAAGGAGCTGGAAGCGGGAATGTGGTAAAAGAAATTCTAGGAATGTGGTAAAAGAAATTCTGTTTATAAAGCAGGTCCTACAAGTATAAGCAGGACAATCTCCCTCATCCTAGAGGCAGCGGGCTGGAGGTTTCCTTTCTGGAGAATAAGGAGGAGGTCTCTGGGAAGGATGAGGTGGTGGCTATAGATGCCACATGAGGAATGAAAGGACGAGTCAGCCATTTCACCAGGCTCCCTGCAGACTCGCAGCACGGCTTAGACTCTGTGATCAAGATGCTGCTCTCAGGATTTTATCTGCCCTAGAAAACAGACACCTCCCGGAAGTTGGCTAGTCAGCAGGCCCCGCCCATACACCAAGGCCGTCTGGCATCCTTTGCTGCCTGCCTTTGGATGAGTTCACAGTGGAGCTCAGATCTCTCATGAAAAGCTTTCAACATGGAGGACAAAGACAAAACCAATGACATATGACATGTGAGGATGGGAAATCAAGGGTTCTGGGCAGGGGAAGAGCCCATTAATATCCTTAGACTAAGAAGTAACATACCGGGGACCAGCAGGTGGTGTGGTGATTGAGGTGCTGGACTCCCACATACCTGATCATGGTTTGAGTCCTAGACCTGGTGGCTTGCTTTCTCACTTTCCCTCCCTCCTTCTGTCTCTCTCTTGGTCAAATTAAAATAATAATAATAAATAAAATGTAATAAATATTTCTTTTAAAAAAAGACATAAGATACTATAGTCATAAAAAAACAATAATAGGAAGCTATGAAAATGAGTATTGATAATAAAAATAAACCTTGGTGCTAAAATGGCATTGAAATAGGTACTTTAATACCTGTTTCTATATAGTTGTTACACTATCAACAAAAGTAAGTTTTTAGAGGGCAGACTGACAGTATTTTAGGTATGTAAGCTTCAACGGCAGCAATTCTACCTCTGTCTTTTCCAGAGGAAAGATAAAAGAATGCTCACTGAGGCATGTTTTCTAACAGATCCTGCACTGTCACCTTGTCACCTACCACTGCCTTTCTACAGGTATGACAGAAGACTGCTGCATGTAGACTGAGCTAGGGCTCTGCAATAACAGTGAAAGATCCATATGAAGCATCAGAGGAGAAAAGCAGAAAGTAAGTCTTACTTACACAGAAACTTCAATTGTTTCACACCCATGTTTGTTTATAAAGGTTTGGAAAAACACCGACAGCAGTCAATGATGAAGAACGTTCATCTATTTTTATATGTAGTATGTGCGTATGTGCACATATACACGCACTCATACACAGCTTTCATTCGATTTTGTAAAAACCATCATATAGTCATGTTTTATTTTTAAGGAATTATTTATTTAATTTTATGTATTTCTTGTTATTCATCACTTTGACCAGAGAGAGAGAGAGAGAGAGAGAGAAAGGGAGAATGAGAAAGCAAGCCACCAGGTCTGGGACTCGAACCACAGATGGTCATGTGGGAGTGCAGTGCCCCAACCACCACGCCACCTGCTGGCCCTGTCACGTAATTTTTAATCTTCAAACTATAAAGCAAATAAGTTTTATCTTTATGGTATCTTGTCATAGATAGAATTAATTCTATGTGAAAGATTAAGCGACTTAAATACAGCTTAAATAAACATCACCAATTTCCCTCATGCATTACTTTTTTTTAGTGGTCAGAGGGCACATGTGCTCACCAGACAAAAGGCAAAGAGACAGGGGGGAAGAAAGTGTCTCCCAGTGGGACCTGGTCATGCTACAATCCCTTCTCCATCCTGTAGGGCTCTGGGCACACACATATGCTCAGCGCATTTTTCAAACCACTGGGGCTGGGGACTTACCTGTGGTCAGCCACGTGGGATTTCACTTCCTTACTCACTAGGCTATGAGGCTGGCCCTTCCTTAATGATCTGAAGAAAATATATGTAGAGGACGGACAGTGACACAGAGGTAAAAACTGCCAGCCCGTGAGGCTGATCCACACGGGCAGGTTCCAGGTTCCTGTCTGGAGGCCTCCACAAGGATGTCAGGCACACGTGTGCCCATCACCATGGCTGGCTATACCGAGGGTGACTTGTGTATAAAGACCCTACTGGAGGTACTGTCTCTGTGCCTCTTGCTCATAGAAGAAATGAATAAATAAACTTAGAAAAAAAAGGCAAAGAAAACGTACGTGGCTCAAACACATGCACTACCAAAAAAAAAAAAAACCGTATGTGGCTCAAACACATTGACTACCGCTTTCCCTTGCAACATGAAACGATGACAAACAAACTATACATAAGGGCTGGCAGGTGGCACGGTGGTTAGGACACTGAACTCCCACATGGCTGACCATGGTTTGAGTCCTGGACCTGGTGGTCTGCTTTTTTACCCCCACCCCACCCTTGGTCTCTCTCTGGTCAAATTAAAAATAACAATAATTTTTAAAATAAATAATTCTTTAAAAAAAAACTAAGTTCCAAATTAATGAAACCATTATATTCAAATTCTCCTTACATAATGTATAATGCAGTCATTGTACAGAAACCAGAAAAAGGACTATGTATACTAATATATGAATATATAAACATGTACACATGTATACACATGTATACATACAAAACAAACTACCCATCCTGTTCTGTAACTTCCATTCCTCATTCTATATTTTGGACCTCTTTTGCCAAATTATTTAAAATTGTTGGAATGTTACTAACTAAATGAACAGTAGGATTAGCTCTAAAAATACGGCATGGAAAGAAAAACAAGTCCACACTGCATTTGCTGTTGCTGGGTCCAGGAGGTGTCAGTGAAAAGCACGTACATACCTCAGCTCTTCCCAGGAGAGTGGGCAGGTCCTCGTGGGATGTCTCCACCACTTGGTGCAATTTCTTATGAAGTTCATCCATCTTCTGTTTTAATAGCTGTTCTTCAAAAGCATTCGCTTCTTTCCTTTTCATGTAGTGTCTGTCTTCATTTACTTTAGGAAAGATAAGAAACAGTTTGAAATTGAGATCATCAGAGAAACAACGTACAAGGGCACCTCAAGATGTGGGAGAATGGAACTAATGTACATGCTTATTTTAGTGTAGAATTTTGTAATCCATGAATACTCGTTTAAAAACATGCATTTTCTGGGGACCAGCAGGTGGCATGGTGGTTAAGACGCTGGACACGCCCACATGGCCAACTGTGGTTTGAGTCTTGGCCTGGTGGCTTGCTTTCTCACTTTCTCCCTCTCTCTCTGTGTGT